ATCTGGTGATCTTAGTAAACAGATTCCTGGGCCTTACCCCAGGGATTTTGATTCAGCAAGTCTGGGATAGGCACATGAATCTACATTTCTAACATATTCCAAGATGCTACTGATGCTGCTGGACAGTGGACAACACACTAAGGAGCACTCATCTGAGGAGTAAACTTGATGTTGTAATGCCTAGTCTTAAATTCCACCACTTCGATCCACTCCCTGTATGATTAAAACTTACCCAAAATTTCGTTGAGTTTCAGCTTCCTCAGCAGTAAAATAGCAACCATACTAGACACTCCCCCCGCCCCCCAGGACTGATAGGATAACTGAAATTGTTGATCTATAAAACTTGTTTCTGGCAGCACCTACCGTATAGAATGTGATTAGAAATTGATGACAGTGTGAGCGTTTAACAGAACAAGTCAGTCAACAGATTTCTAAAGAATGTGGGTCATCAAACTTTGGCCTGCAAGATAAATCTCATTGTTTTGGTGATGCAGGTGAACTAAGAAGAGATTTTCACTTTTTTGAATAGTTAAAAAATATCCAAAGAAGAATGTCTTATAACACATAAAAATTACATAAAATTCAAATTCCAGTGTCCCATAAATAGTTATTGGGACATAGCTACACACATTCACTTACACATCACCTGTGGGTGCCTTTGAGGCAACTTGAGGATTCATGTCAGATCATACTACCAGCAGAGCCTAACATGTATGCTATCTGGCTCTTCAGGATAAGGGATTGCTAATGCTTCATATAAGCAGTCTTCACATAGTATATGGAAAACACATAGCTATGAAAAATCTCTGTATGAATTTCAAAAATTATACCAAAATAAACTCATGCTTTAACTCCGTTTTTCCCCATGAACATTTCAGTCTCCTTATATACCACCAAATGACTATGAATGAATTATTGAGACTAGAATCTCAATATTTACATCGTCTACTGTGGGAATAATTTTCAGTGGCTATAGTTTATAATGTAACAGTACCAAGTAATGAAATAGTCTTAGAAACCCAATAATAAAATGAATTGGAAAAATGAATTTGAGGGATAAATAGCAAAAATAAAGTAATGATGATAGTATCCTATAATATTAGTTTAAAAAAAAGGGCCAGATATTAAAATCACACCTCCATTGCTTTACACATATTATTTCTTCTACCTGGAAAGGCCTTTAGTTCCGGGAACCAGCAGTTAACGTAATGGCTATGTCACTGGACTCCCACGTAGTTGACCCTGGTTCACATCCCGAACCGATGGCTTAAAACTCACGCCGGGCACGTGTGCATGCTTGCCCAAGATCCCGAGAGGAGAATGGAGGAGAAGGGATTGTGGCGTGACCATCCTCCCTTGTCTCTCTCTGTCTGTCTGGCGAGCGCACACGCCCTATAGTGAAAATCTCTCCAAAAAAAAAAAAAGAAAGGCCTTTAGTTCCCGACCAAATTTAAACTTTCTAAATGGGATAATTGTCATCAAAGTTCCTCAAATCAGAAATTTGGAAAATACAAAAGTGTATGCAAAAAATAAATTAGTCAAATTCCCAATATTAGAAATAACCAAGTTTAAACATTTTTGTTTCTAAAAAGTTGGGATACTACTGCACAAAATGGTTATATATCTATATTTAACGTGACATTTCTCCGACATCCTTATATATACTCTGAGAACACTGTATTTAATGACAACCGAGGTTTCAGTGGATGAAAAGATTAGTAACAATATCTAATAAAATAATGATGACAGTATCCTATAATAATGGTTAAAAAAAAGGGGCCAGATATTAAAATCACACCTCCATTGCTTTACACGTATTATTTCTTCTACCTGGAAAGGCCTTTAGTTCCTATGCAAATTTAAACTTGCTTTCTTTCTTTCTTTTTTTTTTTTTTTTTTTTTAGGTTTTTGCCATAGGGTGTGCGTGTGCTCACCAGAGATAGACAGAAAGAAACAATCCCTTCTTCTCCATTCTCCTCTTGGGAATTTAGGTATGCACGCACACATGTGCCCAGAGAGATTTTAAAGCTAACAGATCTGGAACTTGAACCTGGTTGGCCATGTAGGAATCCAGCACCTTAACCACTCCAGCATCTGCTGGCCCCCAATTTTGAACATTCTTAAAGAATCAATCCAAATACCACACTTCCTTAAAGTCTGCCTTTACAGAGCTAATTGTACAGGATCATGTCATCCTTTCATTTGCCTATGCTACTCTTTATATCTGTATTATTCAGTTTTACATCAAATCTTTGTGTCATGATTATCTCCCCCTTACTAAATTATAAGCTCTTTGCGTATACAATGTATACCTCTGCATTTCTTGCTTGCAACATATACTAAATAAGTGTAATTAAACAATTCTCATAAATGATACTAAAAGTAGGCAAGTTCAATAGGAGAATACAAATATTCAGACAGCTATCTTTGAAACCACAGTTTGAAGGGAACAATACAAAATGCTGGTTAGGTAATGCTTCTCAAACTTTGATTGAAGGTCATCTGGTGATCTTAGTAAACAGATTCCTGGGCCTTACCCCAGGGATTTTGATTCAGCAAGTCTGGGATAGGCACATGAATCTACATTTCTAACATATTCCAAGATGCTACTGATGCTGCTGGACAGTGGACAACACACTAAGGAGCACTCATCTGAGGAGTAAACTTGATGTTGTAATGCCTAGTCTTAAATTCCACCACTTCGATCCACTCCCTGTATGATTAAAACTTACCCAAAATTTCGTTGAGTTTCAGCTTCCTCAGCAGTAAAATAGCAACCATACTAGACACTCCCCCCGCCCCCCAGGACTGATAGGATAACTGAAATTGTTGATCTATAAAACTTGTTTCTGGCAGCACCTACCGTATAGAATGTGATTAGAAATTGATGCCAGTGTGAGCGTTTAACAGAACAAGTCAGTCAACAGATTTCTAAAGAATGTGGGTCATCAAACTTTGGCCTGCAAGATAAATCTCATTGTTTTGGTGATGCAGGTGAACTAAGAAGAGATTTTCACTTTTTTGAATAGTTAAAAAATATCCAAAGAAGAATGTCTTATAACACATAAAAATTACATAAAATTCAAATTCCAGTGTCCCATAAATAGTTATTGGGACATAGCTACACACATTCACTTACACATCACCTGTGGGTGCCTTTGAGGCAACTTGAGGATTCATGTCAGATCATACTACCAGCAGAGCCTAACATGTATGCTATCTGGCTCTTCAGGATAAGGGATTGCTAATGCTTCGTATAAGCAGTCTTCACATAGTATATGGAAAACACATAGCTATGAAAAATCTCTGTATGAATTTCAAAAATTATACCAAAATAAACTCATGCTTTAACTCCGTTTTTCCCCATGAACATTTCAGTCTCCTTATATACCACCAAATGACTATGAATGAATTATTGAGACTAGAATCTCAATATTTACATCGTCTACTGTGGGAATAATTTTCAGTGGCTATAGTTTATAATGTAACAGTACCAAGTAATGAAATAGTCTTAGAAACCCAATAATAAAATGAATTGGAAAAATGAATTTGAGGGATAAATAGCAAAAATAAAGTAATGATGATAGTATCCTATAATATTAGTTTAAAAAAAAAGGGCCAGATATTAAAATCACACCTCCATTGCTTTACACATATTATTTCTTCTACCTGGAAAGGCCTTTAGTTCCGGGAACCAGCAGTTAACGTAATGGCTATGTCACTGGACTCCCACGTAGTTGACCCTGGTTCACATCCCGAACCGATGGCTTAAAACTCACGCCGGGCACGTGTGCATGCTTGCCCAAGATCCCGAGAGGAGAATGGAGGAGAAGGGATTGTGGCGTGACCATCCTCCCTGGGGGGTGATTTCTCGCTTTCTGTCTCTCTCTCTCTCTCTCTGTCTGTCTGGCGAGCGCACACGCCCTATAGTGAAAATCTCTCCAAAAAAAAAAAAAGAAAGGCCTTTAGTTCCCACCCAAATTTAAACTTTCTAAATGGGATAATTGTCATCAAAGTTCCTCAAATCAGAAATTTGGAAAATACAAAAGTGTATGCAAAAAATAAATTAGTCAAATTCCCAATATTAGAAATAACCAAGTTTAAACATTTTTGTTTCTAAAAAGTTGGGATACTACTGCACAAAATGGTTATATATCTATATTTAACGTGACATTTCTCCGACATCCTTATATATACTCTGAGAACACTGTATTTAATGACAACCGAGGTTTCAGTGGATGTTGCATGGTTCATTTAATAATTGCCCTTATTATTCAATTTTCATTAAGTTTTTCTTATTATTTGGAACTAATGCTATTATAAACAAATATGCTCATATTTTTTCAGGTCATTATGATTTTTTCCCACTATAAATTACTATAACTTTCAACTAAATTTGGTCTGCTTTCAAAGTAAGTAGAAAAAAGAGGTCAGTGGGACCAGCTGTTAATGTAATGGCTATGTCACTGGACTCCCACGTAAGCTGATCGCAGTTCAAATCCCAGACCCGGTAGCTTAAACTCACTCTGGACGTGTGTGCATGCGTGCCCAAGATCCTGAGAGGAGAATGGAGGAGAAGGGATTGCGGCGTGGCCATCCCCCATGGAGTGTGATTTCTCACTTTCTGTCTCTCTGTCTCTCTCTGTCTTTCTGGCGAGCATATGCACCCTATTGCAAAAGCCTCCCCCCACCCCAAAAAAAAAGGGAAAAGAAAAAAGAGGTCAGAGACAAGGATATTGAGACAGTCTCTGTTTCTCTCGAGTTTTCCAGATTTCCATGCCACACTAATTATGTGTTTTTCTACCTACTGATATGTAATACTGCAGAATATTATCTTTGGCCAAACACGTTTTCTTTTTCCTATAGATCCCATTTTAAAATTCATACCATTACAATTAAGAAAAAATACAGCTCCCCCTTCTCTTACAAAAAAAAAAGGCAATAATTTTTATCAAAAATATTTTATTTACAAAAAAATCAATTATACTATACATCCTATACTGGAAATACATTGAATAATTGCTAAAATAAATACAGGCAATTAATTCAACTTTTTATAAGAATGAAAGAATTTGACATTTGAATGTTATCAAAGCTTAACTTAGAACATAAATAGTTACAAAGGCAAACTCAAGTTTTAGTTTCATTTATTGGCATGGTGTGTTTGTTTCCCATAAACTCTCCAATCAGTGAGAGTCCGAGTTTTAGAATGTTGGGGAACGTTTTGTACTCTGAAGGTAGAATGTGCAGCTTTTTCTTAGGCAGAGTTGATGTAACATTATTAATAGATGTCTGCATTAAAAGGAAGCAGAAAGTCAGGAAGCATTATTTAACACTTGTCCACATGTCTCTGCTTCACCGTGACGTTTTCTATTCAACTTTTCACGTATTTTGGTTGTGTTTTTTAACACAGGTCTACACAGCAACAACTGACAAGGCTAGAGTGACCTTGTAAAGACAAACTGAATGATTGAAGCCCTGTGGAAACCAAATTAGTGGAGTTCAGAGTACCTGGTTCATTAATTTTTATATGTGCCAATTCTTGATATACTCATTAAACCTTGATATCACTTCTACTGTGTAGACAATTTTATGTAGGCCAAGAAAATAAGCAGTGAAGTAATTATCTGTATAATTAATAATAATAATAATAATAATGATAAATCCTCCATAGAAAGTACAGAGGACACTTGGAGTTTGAGTCTGCCAATTTTGGATCTGTAGGTTTTATATTTATTATAATTTATCCCATTCACCCATGTAAACATCATACTAACATCTAAGGTGAACTGGCAAACTGAAAACAAACAAACCAACAAAAGGTGAAATATGTTTAATGTATAGATAAAACCTGGTAAATTCAGACCACAGAACAAAACCTTTAATACACTGCATTGTATTTGCCTAGATTATACAGATAATTTTTCCACTTTCCATTTTACTTGGCCTGGGAAAACACTGTCAGAATCTCCCAGGATGATTTATCTTTGATAATCACGTTTCATCCAGTGCTGGATGCCTAGTGTTCTCTTTCAAGGACTAGCATTCCCTTTTGTTTAATCTTATGAAAAAATTGCACTTTTCTACCCCTTTGGCCTTGATTTTCAATTTCTTTTTGTACACACATCAGTATGTATTTTTATTCCCAAAGTGTGACAGGTATGTCGGCCTTTTCTAGAAGAAATGAAGACAAAAAGTTAAAATATGGAAAGTTTAAATCCTTCTTCACAGAAATAAACTATCTCATCTTAAAAGGTAGAGAAAGAGAGAGAGATACATTTAATTCTTTCTATCATGAACATCAGTCAAGCAAGCTTCACATTTTGGGTAAGTTTTTTTATGTATGAATTTTTTAAAATCTCTTTTATTAAAAAAAAAAAAGAGGGGGGAACAAGTGTGTTTTGGCAGAGAAGTGAAATATAGAAAATGAAAATTTGTTTTAAAAATTGGCATACAAAATTTAAAAACAGTACAAGTATATCAAAATACAGCACAGCCAACGGCCTTTAAATTTTCCTTTGGCATTTCATTTGGTAGAGTTAAAGAGAGTATCCTTCCTAAAAACGTTAGCTATCAAAACAATCCATAAGTTAGGTCGTATACGTACGTTGAAAGAACATTTCCTTGAGTTTCCAAAATCCTTTTCTTCCATGATAACCCACATAAAGCATGGCTAGTGAGGTATATAGGGCAAAACACTGTCAGGCGGATGCACAGTAAGAAAAAAGTGCACAAAGAATTCATCCCATTTTCATAGAAAAAAGAAAAATGGGTTAAATCTGAGTTTCATCCTGTTGATGTATCATTTTACTTTGGCAGAATCAAATAAACCCATAGAAGTGTCTGTTCAAGTCCCAGCAGCAGTGATATATCTCCTTGGGTGGCACTATTGGATGCCACAGTACTGTACAGCCTTTAGAGGAACAAAGGTGTTGTGTGTGTCTGCATGTGTGACTGCAAACATCGAGCAACGTAAGATCATACGTCAAGCACCATGTCATACTGTTGTCCCTTCTTCCGCCTGCCACACTTATTGATGAGAACCACATACAGCGTCAAAAGCATGACCCAATAGCATGCATAGAGCAATGATCCAACAATCAGAACCGTCTGTTTGGATTCTGAAAATGGCTTTTTAGATTCCTTATAAATGGTGAAAATCACGCCACCCAGGAGGATTGTAAACCAAACTGAGACTGGAATGAGTCCTATGAAATTAACAACAATGGTTTTCCTTCCAGATGTGCCCCACCCAGCTTTGTTTATGGTTGCAATTGCAAACATCTTGGCCGGAAGTAAACTTGACATGTATAGCACTGAGTAGAGAGACATAAAGACCATGACTATATTTCCTCTAAGGCAGCTGGCAAAAGATGATTTTATGAGACCTACTAGCTGGACGGTTAATAAAAAGAGGAGGATGTTCCAAATTTTACCCCGGTAAAAGAGTTGGATAACTGTGGCAATGAGAAAGAAAGGAAAGAATCCAGTGATAACCGCTTCATAGGTCATCCATAAGTGATGTTTATGAAACCACATTGCATTGTACAGCCATTCTCGGAAGTAGGACTTGCTCCAACGGGTCTGCTGGTTTAACCATCTGAGATACTCTATCGGTGTTTCGGTAAGGCACTTGGATCGAGCTGTGTATTTTGTTGCATAGCCCAGACTCAACACTCTGTTCGTTAGATGCCTGTCATCTCCAAAACTGCATTGGCTGCCCATAAATTCCTGATTGTACCAGTCTTCCACAAACTCATGCAGCAAGGAGTTCCTGTACATTCCCAGAGGTCCGCTAATGCACTGGACACACCCAAAATAAGACTGACAGGCTCTTTCTATATTAAAAGCCATCCAGTATCTCACACTGCTGAGGAAAGAGATCCAGGAATCGTACTTGTTCAAAATCTGCAGGAAGGAAAACATAAATAAAAAGTAAGCCTTAGTTAAAAGCACTGTAGTATCCTGAGGTTATGATCTGAGTGAAATTTGTTATTTTATTCTTTTATTTTGACCTTCCTCTTTGACATGGTTATATTTTATTTTCTCTAATTTTGTTACTAGATTAATATGATAAGTTGCTACGTGCATATGTTGGGATTCTTGGATAGTGAATATTTCTTTCTACCTTATCACTCTTTGTCATCTTCTTTTTGTCATGTTTTTAGTTCTTGTTCTTGTTGTCCTTGTTGTCATGTTATAATATTAAGGGTTTTTTGGTTGTTTGTTTCCTTTCTCTTCTGAGTCCCTAAATCCTCCCAGGTACTCTTTCTACCATTTAAGGTTTGAAGTTGGTCAGTCCCTGTCGCTCCTGTTCTGGTTAATTCCCAATGTATCAAATCCTTGGCTGATAAGTTTCCTTCTCCTTTCTCCATATGCTTTTTTTTTTGAGAGAGATTTTTGCTATAGGGCGCATGCGCTCATCAGACAGACAGAGAGAGACAGAGAGACAGAAAGCGAGAAATCACCCCCCGCCCAGGGGTGATGGCCACATCGCAATTCCTTCTCCTCCATTCTCCTCTCAGGATCTTGGGCACACACGCACACGTGCCTGGCGTGAGTTTAAGCCACCGGATCTGGGACTCGAACTGCGGTCAACTACATGGGAGTCCAGCGACATAGCCATTATGCTAACTGCTGGTCCCTCCATATGCTTTTGCAATACTAGTGATAAGACTTTGTTCTAGCCTTCCCACAAAATTTCAATTCTGAAATATTTCTTAACATTAAGATTATTGAAAATGATGAGCTTTTTTCTTTGCAATATTTCTGAACTCTCCTCTGTGTCTCAGTTTTGTTCATTTTCTTTTCTGTACTTTTTAGAATTGCTACAGGGTATATTTGATCCCCAATAGGAGAGAGAGAGAGAGAGAGATAAAGCACTTCCCAATGAGGCATGGTCATACTGCAATTCTTTTTCATCCTTCTTTCCTTCCTGTCAGATTCTGTGCACATGTGTACACACACACACACACATACATACACACACACATCTGGTGTGTTTTTTAAGCTGCCAAGATCAGGATTTGAAACACAATTGCCCATGTGGGATCCAGCTTCCTTACCACCGCTTGAGTGTTGGCCTAATTTTGTTCATTTTTAATCTGGATATTGCATGCTTCCTTCTTATCACCAGGTTATTTATTTGTCATTTTTAATGTTATTTATTTGCCTTCACTAGTAATATACATGTACAAAATAGGTGACAAGGTATCTAAGTTTTAAAGTGGATTTTTTATGTACTTATCACTTGTTGCTAAAATCTAACCTCACATTTGCAATAGACTTTTTTTTTTTTTTTGGAGAGATTTTCACTGTAGGGCACGTGCGCTCGCCAGACAGACAGAGAGAGACATAGAGACAGAAAGCGAGAAATCACCCCCCAGGGGGGATGGTCACGCCGCAATCCCTTCTCCTCCATTCTCCTCTCGGGATCTTGGGCACGCACGCACACGCGCCCGGCGTGAGTTTTAAGCCACCGGGTCCAGGACGTGAACCGCGGTCGACTACGTGGGAGTCCAGTGACATAGTCATTACGCTAACTGCTGGTTCCCTGCAATAGAATTTTTTTAATCTTCACGTTTTCACATATTCATTTTCCCATCCCATAAACTTCTAATCATTGCCATTAATATTTTTTTCAATAATTGGGTTTCCATTTACTAGCAAATACTGGAAAATCCACTTATTAATAGTTTTTTTGCTTTTCTCACTAGCATAAACTTGAATTGCTATTTCTCGTTTCTTATTTTGTCTTTCAACTTAAAATTTTGACCACAATCTAGCCAACATTAAATACATATATGTAAGGTACAGAATCATTCCCTACCATACTTTCTTTATCCTTGAAACTAAAGGAACTCTTATATGAGATTTTAGCATAACATTGAACATTAAGTTATAGCCAAGAATATGTAGTTGAAACTATTACAGATATATGTCATCTTGTATAATTTACTAGCTCCTACAGGCATGGATTATACCCCAGGGCTAAGCAAAGAAATCCCGAATTATTTCAATTTAGATAGGAACACAGGCAGTGAAGGGAATCCTAAGAACACACTAATGTGTCTTCAACACCAAGAATCAAGAATACCTGGCACAGAGCTGGTGTGTCATAAATACACTAAGACTGCTATTAAAAGATTCTCATGCAAAAAAATCCAAAACTATATGCACCTGGACATCTCCCCCAACACCTCCAACCATGGGGTCTTCTTCTAAAACTTTCACCATCTCCACAGATGAAGCAGGGTCAAGCATGGTATCTGAATCACAAACCTGCAAAAGAAGAATAAAATAGCTAAAGAAAATAAACCATGAGCCTACTCCATACAGTCAAAATGGGACATAAATATTATGCTCTCTCACCTTAATGTCACAAGGCCTCAGCAAGCAAGCATCATAGGAATGATAGAGGGCTTGTTGTACCAGGGCTGGTGCAAACAGCTTATCTTTCAGTAAGTTCAGCACTTAAGCTAATGACATTGCTGTATAGAACAGCTTCAGTGAGTCTTATGTATGGTGCCTGTTCCTTAGGGATAGCCTACTCCCAGAAGAAACGGAGCAGGAGCAGGGCTGCCCATCACTCCATCCAAACATATCAACCAGATTAAGTCACCTTTCTTCCCTTAGGAAAGTAGTAAGACAACTGCCAAAGACCAGGTAGGTTATACCTATGGGTTGAGCTTCTTCCACATGATCAAAGAAAATCAAAAGTAAGAAGGAAAGTGATCCCATCTCCCTATCCCTGCGACATTTATTAATGAGACATAGTGCTCTTACATGTTCAATATAATAAGGCCCTTACAGATATAAAATGATCAGTACTGTCAGGCGATGAGTCAGGTTAACATTTCCATCCAGACAGTGAATGATGTGACTGGCAGAGAGAGAGTGTTAAGTGCAAATCCCATAATTCTGCCATCAAGTTTGGCTCGATTTAATCAAGACTTAGCTTATTTATCAAATATAAAAAATGTAATATTTCTCTAAACTACTATGTAAAAATAGTCAGAATTTGATAAGCCAGTTTTGAACGAAAAAAAAAGAAAAAAAAACTTAACTGGGTCTAGCCTCTGTAGTGCAATCAGTGGCACACAGGATTATTGTGCTGGAAGTCACATGGCCAACCACAATTCAGATTCCCAGCCCAGTGATTTCAAACATAGTGAGCATTCACACCCTGGATCCTGACCAGCTGAAGGTCTAGGGGAAGGGAATTCTAGAGTGACCATACCACGTCAAGGGTATTATTCTCTTTTTCTCTCATGCACACACATGTTCTCTATCATAAATTACAAATAAATACATATTAGTGCTATGAATATCTTGCCATTAAAATACTAATCAGTGGGCCAGCAGGTGGTATGGTGGTTAAAGCGCTGGATCCCACATGACCAACTGCTAGTTTGAGTCCTGGACTGGTGACTTGAAAAACATGCTGAGTGTGTGTGCATGCATGCCCAAAATCCCAAGAGGAGAATGGAGGAGAAGGGATTGTGGAATGATTTCTCACTTTCCATCTCTCTCTAGCTCTGTCTATCTCTCTCTGGTGAGCACACATACCCTATGGCAAAAATATAAAAACTTTTTGGACCAGCAATTAGTGTAATGTCTACATCGCTGGATTCCCATGCAGTAGACTGCAGTCGAGTCCCGGATCTGGTGGCTTAAACTCATGCCCGGTGCGTGTACGTACATGCTCAAGATCCCGAGAGGAGAATGGAGGAGAAGGGATTGCGGCGTGGCCATCCCTTCTAGGGGGTGATTTCTCGCTTTCTATCTCTCTATCTCTCTCTGTCTTTCTGGTGAGCACACGTGCCCTATAGCAAAAACCTCTCCAAAAATATATATATTAAATATATATATATAATACATATATATGTATTATATACACACACACACACACATACATATCAACTTTTTAGGAAACTAATCAATTTATAGAAGCATGGGGCTGGCAGGTAGCATGCTGGTTAAGGTGCTGGACTCCCATATGGCTGACCATGGTTCAAGTCCCAAACCTAGCAGCTTGCTTTCTCACTGCCCCTTTCTTGCTCTCTGTCTCTTTCTGGTCAAGTTGAAATAAATAAATAGATAATAGCAAATAAAATTAAATAAATAATTCTTTAAACTTTTTTTTTTAACTTATAGAAGCATACAGTCTCAAAGTAGGAGACTTTAGACTTTTGATATGTGTAACAGGAGTTCATTGCATTCACTACAATGAAATTCCAATATTAAAAAAATCTATTTTAATAATAATTATATATTTTTCTGAAAAGATTTTCTGTTAGTGAAGGCTGCTGGTGAAAATAGTAATTTAAGTGTATCATTGGAATTTACAACTTAAGCAAGGTAGTAGACATCCAGTTATTAGAAAGTGAATTCATTAACACTCTAGATTTAACTAGTTTTAACAACTGTGGGGTTAATGTTTTACTATTTCATTTAATTTTGCCTTTTTAGCATTCATTTTCTAAATAAAAACCGATTTGTAGATTTTTGGGCATTCTACTTAGATCCAACAGAATCTTACTTATTTTAACGAAAAAAAATAGAAATTTACTAACACTTAGGTTTGAATCCAAGCATCCCAAGCCTCAGAAGCCCATAAAATTCCTCTGAATGCAATGTTTGCCTCTCTCAAGCCTTCCCTGTCACGGTGTGTCTCTGGCCACAAGTAGGGTGGAAGGCTTGTAAAAAGAGTACAGAATGGTGAAGGCAGAAGTCCAGCCCACCTTTAGAGTCCAGCATCCTGAATTAAGAGCCACACCCACCTCTATTGACTCAAACTGGGAAAGGTAAAGCCAGAAAGCTAAAATAAGACTAAAAACAACAGGAAGGGAGCAATCCAGAGTTAATGTTCAAATAACCCCGCCTGCTCGTGAGCACAAGCAAGCCAGGCCAACAGTCTATTTGAAAGGGCTAAACTGGAATCAAACTTTTGAGGATCAACATACTTAAATTGGTCCCCGCCCTGCCAGTTTCCAATAGCAAAGCACCAGACAGTCTCTGAGAGAGAGTGTTCAAATGGTGAGTTTAGCTGTGTCAGAAGGGAAAGCTCTCAGAAATCTCTTGGGAATGGGGTTTGTTATCATGGGACTTAAGAGCTATTTTAAAAATTTCAATTCCTGGAGACTTCGGTGATGGAATGCCAACTAAAAAACCATGTCCCTTGATACTCTGTAAAAGCATGTATATTCAGGGACACAATGATACTTATTTGGATGGCAAGAGTAAGATTTTAGCCCTTTTTTTAGAGAGATTTTTGCTATAGGGCATCTGCACTTTCTAGAGACACACAGAGAGAGACAAAGAGACAGAAAGCAAGAAATCACCCCCTAGGGGGATGACCAACCACGTCGCAATTCCTTCTCCTCAGTTCTCCTCTTGGAATTTTGGGCATGTATGCACACACACCCAGCATGAATTTTAAGTCACCAGGTCTGGGACTCGAACCTATGGTTGACTACATGGGAGTCCAGTGATGTAATCATTATGCCATCTTCTGGTCCCTTAGCCTTTCTTAATATCCATATAGTAAAGACAGAATTTCTGATTGTGTCCTCCTCAATTAATAAAAGTATACAGTTTCATGAATATTGGCTAACTAGCTCTGAGCTAGAATCTATGGGAGACATCCCAAATTATGTGGAGCTAAATCACACATGGGGAAAAACTATAGGACATGACAGGAAGCAGAGAGCAGATCAAAATATCTTTTTGGTTACAGTGGGCATATCACTGTAATTTGTTGAAACCACATGATCACTACTTATAAGATTTCTCACTATGAGAAATGGAAATAAAGCAGTTACAAACTCTTGAATAGAATGTGTGAAAAATATAAATATTAAGTTGTAGTCATCTCAGTCTTAACCACAGAATCATCAACTGAAGTACATAAGTCTATCACTCTTCTTGCTTCACTGTTCTGGCGAAAGTTGTTACCCTCTCATTGCTCCTTATTTGAAACAGATTGGCAAACTAAGGCTGACAGTTTAAGTTCAGTCTCGTACCTGTTTGGATATGGCGAATGTTTATGTTTTAAACAACTGAAAAAAAATGTTATGACACATAGAAGTTATATGATATTCAAATTTCAGTGTACATACTTTAAGTTCTATTGTGATCCAGCCATGCTTATTCATTTACAAATTAGCTATGGCTGCTCTCACACTGCAGCAGCAAAGTTAGGTAGTTAAAACAGACACCAATGGCCAGGCAGGTGGCATAGTGGTTAAGATGCTAAACTCTCACATGGCTGACCATGATTCAAGTCCTGGAGCAGGTAGCTTGAAAATCACACTGAGCATGGGTGCGTGCATGCTCAAAATCCCAAGAGGAGATAGGATGGCTGTGTGGCCAGCCCCTGAGGGATGATGTCTCACTTTCTCTCTGTATGTCTCTCTGGTGAGTGCACCTACCTTATACAAAAATCTCTCTAAGAAAAAAACAAAACACCATCTGGTCCCCACATCCTAATATTTATTGTATCGACCATTTTACAAGCAAAGTTTTCCAAGCTTAGGTTCAAAATGATTATAGGGGAAGGTTCTACTTTCATAAAAATAATAGCAAAGTATAAATTAACTATTAAAGCCCAATTTTAATTCTGGTAGTTTTCAAAAATAGGTTATCTTCATCTCCATGTCTTATAAACAATCTGTAACTATATAAAGTATAGAATATTTCTTATGGTTTTGCCTATTGTGAGAACAAGGGCCTATAGGATTAAGAAGCTTTAATTAAAGTCTTAAGTACTATAACTTACTACTTCTGTGACTTTGAACAAGCCAACTACCTCCATCATAGCATATTCATGAGACTCCATAATACACACACACACACACACACACACACTCACATGGACTTTGTGAGTTACAAAAGATTGTAGAGGGGCCAGCTGATGGTGGTTAAGGTGACTGGATCCCACATGGACAACTACAGTTTGAGTTCTGGGACTGGTAGCTTGAAAAACATGCCAGGTGTATGTGTCCAAAATCTTGAAAGGAGGGAGAAATGGAGAAGAAAGGATTGCAGCATGCCTCAGGGGGGAAGTGCTTTCTCACTTTCCCTCTCCTTATGTCTCTTTTTTTCTCTCCAGAGAGTTCACATGCTCTCTGGTGAAATTTTTTTAAAAAGGGGGTAGGGGGACTATAGAGAATAGGCCATGAGTATGAGGTAATGATCTTTAAATCATTATGTTGTACTCTAAGTAAATCCACACCTAAAGGCTCATAACAAAATCATTTCTACAAATAGATGGTTCAATA